TGATCGAGCTAGCACAGACCTGTACTGAATTCACAGCTGAAGATATGTAGCTGTCTGATGGGCTTTTCTTTATTATAAAGCAATCAGCTCTATTTGAGAACGGAAATTCAAGTAGTAGAAGAAAAATGCATGGATATAAATCTATTGCTTAAAGTTTTAACATTACACCATCTTTCGAATGGTTTCTCAATGTCCTCAGTTTCAAATTAAGGCTCCAATCATGCAGCAAATGAGAATTAAATCAACAACAATCCCCTCATTGATGATGTTTTAGTACAGCAAAACAAGGCAAATAGCAAACCAATCATCAGAATTTTATTTTAATGAGACGATGAAACTAAATCCTGCATAATTTAAGCTCTATACCCAAAGGAATTGCGAAGATATTTCGCTGGATACCTCTCAATTGCCCGTTTCTCTCATACTTGTAGGAACGAGATCAAAATCTAATGTTCATAAGCAAAACAGTCGATCAACCGCACTGCTAGCTTATTTATGTACACTTGTTTATTGGCGCATATAAGCAATAAAAACAAACGACAACAATACCACACATTCAGTATGCGTCGTATGTAATAAGCATGCGCTAAGCTGATCAATTACCCAGGAACTCTATGCAATCTATGCATTAACCCCATTTAATACATGCTTCATTTAATGTTTGCCTCAGATTCAACTCCGTATATAAACAGTGATGTTGATGAACCCGATGATACCTCTGCTCAAATCAAAGCAATCCCAACTACACGATTCTCATTAACAAATGATTAAGGCCAATGGCATCAACTAGAGAACAATTCACGATTTGCTCTATAATTCTCAAATTTTCGCATGAAACAAACGAATTGATAAATATCTTCTGAATGGCTGCTTGGAATCTTTATTTCCGTCATTTCGAAAGTGCATTCCCTATTTTGAATAAATGTGAACACCCGAAAGGACCTAAACTGAATTTTTCCCTCTCTTGGACTGACGCTCACTGCTTGAAACCACGAGCAATTCGGTGTGCAAATTCAACCTCATTCGCGTTGCATAGTCGATAGCTCAATAGAAAAAGTAATGTTGGCAGGTGCAGACTGAGTGAACCTGACCCCCATAGCGCATTCACCTCGTCGCATAGAACAGTGAATGTCGCGTCCTCTCCTCTTTTCATTCCTCTATTTTACACTACTGGTGGGATCAAATTTCAATAAATTGCTCCTTCCTCTGAATTCAAAACAAACACAGCTCAATTACGGAGTAATAATAATCATCCAGTCCATGAAGATAATCACCCAGCTAAGAGCTAATTGGATAATTCTTATTAATTACTATGAGATATTTCAGATGCACAAAATGAATAACGGTAAAACAGTAACTGATGCTGATAAGCTTGTTCGATCAATTAAAAACTGTTGGATAATGAATATATAGTAATGCGCAGATTGTTTCAGCATTATTCAGAGCAGCTCATAATAACAATCTAATTTTATGCTTGAATTATGTTGAAATGCAATACTTTTTCTCAATTTACACAGTAACGGCAACGCTACTTTGCCTTGTCTAAATATACGAAATTCAAACCCAAAATAATAACACTAAGCGGAACTGGGTCGGAAGTCGCCCAGCATCCGGAGCTCCCAACCTTATCGTCTATTCTCGAGAGCCCAAATTGTAATTCTGTCCCCAATCTTAACCTTACGCTGAATGTTTAGATTATGCATTGAAGCTCTTGAAAACGCTTAATGGACTGACTATTCGATGACTGAATACGTTAGTTGTTATAAATATTTAATCACGATGATTACTAACATTCACAATCGCGCCCGGACATTTGTCAATCACTAGTTTTGTGTTATGCGCAGATGTCACTAGCAAGTGATACATTCGCTAATTGCAAGTGTATTTTGCACGGAGACTGCAACCTAGAGAATAGCTCGCTTAATCTCAGTATTAATAATAAATTACCATGATTGTATTCGGTCAATGAGACAATACTCACGAAAATGAAAGAACAACAGAGGATTATGTAAGCAAGAATAGAACAAACCAGTGGGATCGATAGTGAAATACCCAATACCATCACCATCAACGATCGAATATTTTATTGGTGATACAGAATCATCCGGATCAGTGGCTTGAAGTGCGAGTACCTCCGTGCCGATGGGTTGATTCTCTGAAATTTGCTTTGTGAGGAGCACAAAAACACGACTGTAATTCATTCTGCGTCAGTAAATTGTTTGAACAGCAGGTGCCTAATAACTTCAAACTTTAGGATAACTGAAATATAACCAGCCCCCCCCCCGCTCACAAAATATCTTTCAGCGCTTCATATTGGAGGTTCATAGTCACTGGATACATTAGAAGGGTGCTACCTTGGGTTTTTCAGTAATACCTTGGATTTTTCGATGCTTTCAATCAGAGAAAAACTGAACTTCTTGTCACCATTTCTCATCAAAATAACAATTCTGTGAACTGAGGAATTAGGAAGTGGCACGGAAACTGACCATAAACACTCGCTTCATGTGCGATATCCGAGAATATTGGTGGATGCGCATTCTCGTTNGCTTTCAATCAGAGAAAAACTGAACTTCTTGTCACCATTTCTCATCAAAATAACAATTCTGTGAATTGACGAATTAGGAAGTGGCACGGAAACTGACCATAAACACTCGCTTCATGCGCGATATCCGAGAATATTGGTGGATGCGCATTCTCGTTAACATCAATCAACTCGACCACCAATCTGCACACAGTGCTGAACGTTGGTTGACCGTTGTCCATTGCCTTAATTAACAGCTCATTTCATTGAATATGCGATACCGATAAACCTTCAACTTATCATTCAAACGAAGCAGAGAAGGATCCATGAACAAAAATGTGTGCTCATCTAAATGTTTTCACTAACAACCAGCATGATAGACTATAAAAAAGAACTCCATGAGATGCTTTCTCAAACATTTTTGGTCATTATCCACTCAGACAGTTAACTGATTCAATCAGTAATTCACGTGAGTGCAGATAAACCTACGAATTAGAACATATGAATGCGATTTGATGGTCAAAGTACTGCGAGCATAAAGACTTATCAAACAATGCTGATTGAATTCAATCCTAATAATTCCACTCAGCTTTGATTACGAAGAAAATTCAACCTTACCTCAACAGTAATATTGTACAGTGGTCTTGTTTCGAAATCGAGAGGAACTGTGGAATCGATAAAAATACAGCCAGTGTCAGGCTGAATTCGAAATGGCAACTGCGATGAGGATTTGTCGAATATTGTATCGAAACCGTACGTAATACGAGCGTTCTCACCGATGTCTGCATCAAATGCAGCAATACACGTGACAAGGGCACCATTTGGATAGTCTTCCGGAATCTGCACCTGAAATGAGCATATGTTGTGATGCACCAAACAAAAAGAAACATCCAAATAAGACACGTATATCAACTGAATATTATACTAGTAGACACCATCATAAATTCAATGTGATGTATAAGTTGAATTGAGTCACAATGACGAAAATAACGATAAAATGATTGATGACAGTTTAGAATGAGACAAAACAGTGTTTCATATGGCAGAATGGCAACAAAAGGAATGATACTTTTTGGATTTGTTCAGCACATCTGGGTGCATTGTCGTTAACATCCTCAACAATCACCGAAACATTCACGAAAGTGAGTTTCGGTGGATGACCGTGATCGTATGCAACGACTGAGAATCTGAAATTATCGAGCGATTCAGAATTACGTATTTTGGTTGATATGAGTGACAACTGCACACTATGTTCACATTACACTGAAAGATTAGCAATTTCTGACTGCAAAATCATTGACTAGAATGACTAATAAAGATGACAATATCGTTTTGAAAGACTATCACCATTCTAAAATCGCCTGTGTCGTTAAACAATTAAAAATGAAAAGTATCGACTCATGGCATTATTCACACAAAAAAACACGATACCAACAATATAGAATTATTCATAGTGAATTCAACAAAAAATTCGTAGAAAAAAGAATAAAACGGTACCGATGCATTTCACTCGTTTCCCTATCGAATTGTTTAAGCAGTCGGATAATACCCTTTCGAGCATCAATCTCAACTTGATTCTCATCTCCGGCCATTTTGTACGAAACTAGTCCATTTTGTCCAAAGTCGTCATCAGTCGCAGTTACGATCAACAATTCACTCCCCACTTCCGTATCTTCTGCTACATGAATGCGATAGAATGGCTGAAACGAAACAATAAAATAAAAGAGTGGTTTTGGACATAGTCTCACACGTTCCCATGAGTTCCTTAGGCATTTATTGTATTTCTTAAAGTTGTATTATTTATATTGTCAATCTTTTTAACACATGTGGTACAGTTTCATGCGGAAATCATAAAGCAAAAATAAATGTTACATTCTTTTGGATTGTGAGACTTTTATCAGACATTTTTGCTATATTCATTGAAAATTTTCGCTCCCTCCCTATATCCCCCAAAAGCAGAAGAAAATACTGCGAATACAAAGGACTGTCACAGATGTTGTTAGAAGAAGATAATCTGCGAATGATTAATTAGAATAGTTGGGCACTCATCTGCCATTTGCTAACTGAGCCTTTGTTCAGTGGACACCACTTGTTAGGTACAGTTCATTCGAGAAGAGGAACGAACGTATTGTGCTTACGGTTGTAAAACAAAATGTTCTCAGCCACAAAGGGTAATAAACATTACACGACGACAAATCAAAATTGACAACTTTATGCGATCTTTACAAATGTCCTCAATCGAAACGGTCAATTGCGATGAGTGATTAATGAGTTTGCTGTGAGGTGTTGTAAAGTTCAAAGAAAACAACATGTTGAAAATGTTGATGGTTTGTCGAAACATCGAAGATTCATAGGCAAAATGAGATGCTTTCAGAGTTAATATGTTTCCATAAAACGATTTTTTTTTTTAAGAGAACCAACTCTGGGCGTTCTCCAAAACGAAGAAGATATGAGAGGATAAACTAAAGCAATCCGTTAATCACAGATGAAGTGCAATTGTGAAAAGATGCTCAAA